TTGTAAATGCCTTCTTTAAAATGATTTTAAATTTATAGAAGCAACTATAATCGAAGGGAAGTATTAGCACTACTTAAATGGTCATTTTGTACTCTGCGTGTCTTTGGTACCTGCGAATACAAGGTATTTTCAAAAGCCCATATCCTGTCGCGAGAGAAATATCCTGGGATTATGTTGTACGATAATTAGAATCACAAGCCCACACAAGTAACGTCTTCCAATTGAAAACGTTACATAGAATTTATGCCAGCATTTCACGAAAATCTCCAACCAGTCGTTCTTTGTTACTATAGACATTAGCTCATTAGGTTCGCTAATGTCTCAGAGTAAATTTGACAAACAGTTACTCGACAGAAGTCGCTGCCTGTAGCTATCGCTGAATCGTCAACCGAGTCAAAGTGGTGGACTCACAAGTTAGATGAGTTTTCTTGTGACATAACTGGAGAAAATCGAATTGTTGCTAAAATTCGACATCCGAGATGTTCTTTTGTGTTATCTCCTAAAACTTACGGACTTGTATTAAGAAACAAGCGTTTTTTTAACTCGTCGGAGATGCAACCCTACTTTAATACATCTAAGTGTGCATGATGATGCCAATTGCTTTGCGATTAAATTTTGTTCTATTTCATTTGGATGAACATCATTTTCATTCAGTTGATTCACTTATAAGAGTTTTTTTGGTTTGCAGGTTCACGTCTCCAGTTCGGATCCCTTCGACGACATTACCAGCAGGAATTCAGAGCCGATTAGTTTTACATATCTGGATGTCTCTGGCTATGCCATCTTTGAACTAAGATGTGAGGATCACGTCGTTGGCATTGATGTTCTTCGCATGCTTCACGCAGTTCCACACATTTTCAGACGAATATACCCGACTATTGTGAGGAGCGACATTATGACACAAAGACCACAACTGTTTTTGGCGATAGGTCAAGTTCATGAGTTTATTCTTCGGAGGAATATAAAATCGCAGCTCCCGCTTTGTATATACGACTAGACACCATCGAACAGATATCCAATATACCATTGAAAATAACCATATAACACCTTTTGGCACTTGGAACTATTGGGAACTAGCGTTATGTCGTATGGGAAATCAACATGGTTGCCAGATTAGGGCACAACCCGAGTCAAACAGGCCGCTCAATGTCCACACATCCGGTGACAATTCCCACACGTGACGGACGTAGTGAGATGCCTAGGCGCAGACTTTGTGCCACATCCTAGCACCAGATGCCTCTTCGACTTGGACATCAGACCGATGCATGGGAAAGCGGAGAGAGTGAGAGAGACTAAAGCTGACTCTGCAGACTACCTTCCTATGTGATTTAGAAGCATCCTTCACTATAAATAATTGTTCTCTCCTCCAAAGTATCATGATGAACTAAACCTCCCGGCTTGTCAAGTGTCTCGAAAACACCGTCATCTCAGGACAGAGACTTGGAGCGGGGCTGCGCTATAGTTAGCAGGTCACCCCACCAGCGTGGTGTACATGCTGGTTTCTCCACCCAGATATCATCTGTGGGTGGTGCAAAGTGATGATGAGTACCGCGGAAGCAATCATTGGTCGAATGGCTAAATCAGTTGTCAGAGTCGAGCGTGTATGTCTCCACACCCGACTGTTACGCCCATAGCCCAGCGGATCTGCATAGCCCCTGCGCAAACCAAAAATTCCCCAGGGATGATGCCAGTGATCTCCTAAGTAGCGCAAGGTGATTTAGGCCTCTCGTTTGATAAGCAAATGTCCTGACCTAAAATTCAGCTCCACAGTCGCCTCGAATGACTGATTGGCCATATTTGAAGGTAGCACTGCTAATTCTGATCAACAAGATGTCTTTAATCAATAATAGACGTTCTAGTTGTCGGCTCCCAGGTCTATTCCTGCAGTGACGGGCTCCGACGACGTGGTAGTAGGTTCTACTAGGATATTCACGTTCTCCTAAGGGTTGCGCCAAAGGCAGGAAAACTGATCCCCCTTGGGCCTCAATTCCCGCTTTGTCACAATTCATGATTTCTGCATCCGTTAGCATCCACGTCGCCATCCCAGTCGCAAATCACAGGATTCCGGAAAACATTAATTCCGACCGGCACTCTCCAGTTGTCCCGCAGTCACCCATTATCTACATTATCACTGTTGAAAATACATCGGCGGCGATAAACACTGCACACGCTACCCAAAGTTCGACCGACGTGACTGACAACGGTGGCATGATGAGAGCAGGCATGAGGACTTCTACATGAATTCGCTTGAACTATACAACATATATTATACCCTCTCATTCTCTGTCTGCGGATTCCGGTGTCAAGAGGCGGTATAGGGCACAGGAGGCTGCACGGCCTGACACGTACACATGCGTACCACCACGCCTCCTGGTACGCAATAAAGATTTAGCAAGGATTTTAACTAGTAAATACATTGGGCGCGATAGGTATTCCGGTCATTTGACACGAACTGGCAACTGGATCTGCAACCGCACCCAGAATGTTGACATTCCCGAAAAGGTCCACCAGAATGGAAAATGACCCCTGTCTTGATTCTGCGCGTCTACCGCATGGCACGTTCGGGGTCCCGTGCAGGGACACTCCAACCAACGGTTAGAATACTCCCGACGTACCTTCAATCACAACCCTAACAGGCATCTTTCCATCATCAGCAATGTTGACTGGATCCCAAACTATCCTCGTAGTGGTCGTACACTAACATCATACACCGGTCTCGTCGGTCATTTGTAGATCTATTGCATTAACTTCAGATACCTTGTAACAGGGGCTCGATCCAGGGTCGTCACAATTGCCTCATCTGCCCATATAGTTCACGCGCATTCACTCGCAGCATGGGCTTACGCAGCCATTGGCTTATCCACAACACGGAAATATACCGCTAAATCGGCATGCAAAATCACCCCTGACATCCGTCAATCGTCCCCTCCCCAAGTCCTATTTAATTCGCCCTTCGAGCGTTGCCACTATTATTGGTAACACGACCCCCATCACGGATGATAAAAAAACCATTAAACAGCCCAATCAACATCGGTTATGCACATGAATATAACGCATAGACCTGGTCGGTCAATTGCGAATCCGTCGTACTGGAGGACCAGGACGTGGACGAGAACTTACACATGATGCACAACCAATAACTGCATTGCATGACTGGTCGAGCCGGAAAGTACACTGACGCCTCGAAGATGGAAGAGATGATTAGGTTGGCTCTAGGGACTGTCCCCCACATTCGGTGTGCTCTCCTCTGTGTAGCGAATGTAATATGCTTTTAAACTTCTACGTTGCGCAAAAACCTGTGGCTTGGAAGGCTGACAATCAGCGGGCTAGTTTAATACTCCTCTAAGGATGGGGATTCAAACTGCAATGAATCCTTTCTAAGGTGCCCTTTATAGAATTCTTGCACGAACCAGGGGTAGGTAAATAGGCTTGTTGTGTAACCTTCTGTGATAATAGTTCAACTCCATTTTTTTGTTTTTTTCCCTCTTCGTTGACGCCGGAATCAGGTTTGTGGGCGAATTCAGCTTGAGTATACCATCGCCACAAACCATGTTCGTCGTTAAACGTCGGAGTGGGAACACTGCCGTTAAATGGCTGCCGTTGGTTTTGTGAGGGAGATGAATCAATCAGCGCATCTTAAAGAAGCGAACACAGAAATGTCAAAATTATTCGTCATGCTCAGTGACAATGCGGAAAATTACGAACGTAGATTCAAGTACCGACACGAGAAAATGGGAACTTAAAATTCAAATTCCCTGATGTTTATATAGAAAAAAGGTTTCGAATGTCGCTGGATGGGAAAGGACAGCAATTCGTCAAATCTAACAGTTACGGAACTCCCAACAATTTATTGCCAGATGGGAGACTCGCGCTCGAAGATGCAGGAGGGCGGATATCACCGATACGAAGATGCTCCGACTTATCTCAGATGCGTAAATTAATACAAATTTCCTATAAAAAGAAAAACTAAAAATATGTCCTTATATTCAGACGTCAATTTTCAAAAAGGTGAAAAAACGGACTTATCTAGATATTTTACTCACAGAATACGCCAAATTATGGGTAAGGTAATACCATACTAACAGCACAGGCACCAGCCAAAAGCCAATTTACGCGTGATTTGCCGATTTGTTTCCGTTCATGATGCAGCTGCCAGGGGTTCGGCTCGTTAGTGGGACCTCCAGCATTCCCTGTATGTTGTCCGGTGGATAATTCAATTAAGAAATTGCCGCTTTTTGATTTCCTAAGAAATAATCAACGAAGTTGAAGTAGATCAGTTTATTCAAGGCCGATAGGCACAGACCGAGAAATTTATACATGAAATTTTGGGCTACATTCATCAGGCGCAGCGGGGAACCGCATACTATTCGTCAAATGTATACAGGCGGATAGTAGTATATATTACGGTAAGGTGATGCCATCCTTACTGCACAGGAACTAGCCAAAAGCAAATGTTCTCATGTTTCGGCGATGTTTTGCCTCTGCCTGCGCAACTACGAGGGGTTCGTCTCGTCAGTGCGTCCTCCAGCATTTCCCGTGTGCTTCCTGTTTGATATTCTAATTAAAAAATTGATACTTTAATTTATTCATAAATAACTGACGAAGTTGAGATATGTCAGATTATTCAAGGTCCATAGGCTGAGATCGAGAATTTTAAACATGAATATTTATGCCAAATAACATCCGAGACAGCAGTTAACCGCGTACTGTTCAACAACCTCCGACAGGCATAATGTGACATTAAAGTTACAGCACAGGGACTAGAAAAAACCCCATACAAGCGTAATTCGCCTATGTTTTTGCGCTGAATGACGCAGCTCTGAAATGTTCGGTTCTTTAGTGGGAGCTCCGCATTCCCTGTGAGTTTTCTAGTGAAAACTCCAATTCCAAAATTGTGGATTCTATATTTCATAATATATTGTCTTCGAAAATGGAGTAGATCAGTTTATTCAAGGTCCATAGGCACATACTAAGAAGTTTATACATGAATATTCGAGCCAATGCGCATAAGCCATGTGCTTTCTGGTAGATACTACAATGTATATAGGACAGTGAAGACAGACGCTGCGATCTACGAAGCCAACCGCATCGCTGCCGCCAAAGCGAAACGTGAAGCCCGCAAATCACAACTTCGCCCAGTAAGCAACGCCGCCGCACAACCGCTTCCAACGTGTCCTCGATGTCAACGGACATTCCGGGCTCGAATCGGACTTGTTGGACATCTTCGGAATAACTGCGCCTCTCGAACGGCACCAACCATCGTCCCCCCGCCTGCCTCTCCCTCCTCCTCTCCGCCGCCAAATAACCCACCACTTCCATCATCCTCCTCCTCCTCATCCTCCTCCTCATCCGCCTCCTCCTCGCCCACTGCTCCAACGGCGGCCGCTCAGGCGACTGTCCCACGCACAGCAACCGACACTACCACCACCTTCCCCGACTCCAGGGATGAGGATCAGGACTACACCTGCCCTCACTGCGACCGTACTTTCACCTCACACATCGGTCTGGTCGGTCACTTGCGAATCCATCGCACAGAGACTGGCGAACCAGTGCCTGGAGCACCCACCTATACCCATCAAGCTCGTCTCAACTGCCCACACTGTCCTCGCACTTTCAGACATCGCATGAGCCTATTCGGCCACATGCGCATCCACGACGACCTGCGGTAGACAACCGCCGGCCACACCACACATTCACTCACTCCCTACCTCCTCCACCACCACCATCACCCCACCAGAAATCAACACTCACACACCTCATGCACCCAACTGCCACCTCCCACGCAAGTGAGAAGTGTGCATCTCGACTCGGTCCCCATGCGGCTTCGGCTGCACGGGTGACTTGAGTCCGAGACTATCCCGACACGTCAAGCGTCGTGGATAGGAAGGTTGCTGATTGACGCCCGCTCTCGGTTCACGCAGTTCGCCGCGTTGTGTGTGTGTGTTGTGCGGAGTGGCGGACTGGTGGGCTGGGGACGAGCTGAAACAGCACCTTTCACGGCCCTCTCACGCAAGTGAGAGACACGCCGTTCAACCCCCGTTGTGTGAAATCCTGGTGTTTGTGTGTGCATGGGGGGCCAGGTCGTGCTGTGGCGCGCGCAGACATGGTCAGTCGACCATGTCAGCCACCGCGCCCATTCCCCACTCCAGTCTTCTGACCGGCTCGGACAGCGGCTGGGGTGTGGGGATGGGAAGGAAGAGTGAGGTCGACGACTCAGCGCACTTTCTCCTCACTATAAACAATCTGACGCGCTTGAAGCTATCACGGTGCGCTAAAAGCCGTGGCTTGGAAGGTTGCCAACTGACGGGGTACCTTGGACCTCCTCCTTCACTGGAGGCGGTCTGAGAGTCAGGCTGCAATGGCTCCTTTTTAATGTGGCCTTTATGGCATTCCCACCACAGTGTGGGATCCGAGCCAGGCGGTGGCGGCACGCCCAGGTGCGGCTTCGGCCGTGCCAGCCTCCAAATCTCTGTTGTGTTGGTTGAAATCCTAGTTATTGCTGTGTGGACCAGGGGGTGTGGTGGAACGCCAAGGTGAGGATCCGTCCGAGCCATCCACCTGCGGCCTCCCTCATCTCCGGTCTTCTTGACTCTGTCTTGACGCCGGGTCCAGGCGGGAGAGGAGGAGAGAGTGTAGGTAGATGCTACGCAAGTCTACCGGCACTATAAAACCCTGCGTAAGTCACCGTCCCTGCTCCCATTGCTGCTGCAACTGTGGGGCACACAGTGGACATCATCGAAACCGATGGTCGAACTGTCACAATGTATATATCGTCGCTTTATAATTTCCTTCGAAATAATATACGAAAATGAAAAAGATCACATAATTCAAGGTCCATAGTCTCAGAGTAAGAAGTTTAAACATGAATATTCGGGTCAAAGTTCATCAGCCAGAGCGGTAACCGGGTAATATTAAATAACTTCCAATAGGCAACTAGTATTATACCTTAGGGTAAAGTGATACCATAATTACAACACAGGAAGTAGCCAAAAGGCCATACATGCGTGTTTTGCCGATGTATTGCGCAGCTTTGGCTCGCCAATTGATCCCCAAGCATTCCAGTGTTTTTCTGGTAGATACCCTAATTTAGAAATCTTCGACTCTTAATTTCCTCAGAAATTATTTACGAAGTTGGATAAGATATGTATATTCAGGTTTTATGCACACAGGACGGCACTTAAAGGTAAGGTAATACCATGCTAACAGCCCATATACTAGTTAAAAGCACATGCATGAATTTTTGCCGATGTTTAATGCTGCATGGTGCAGTTGCGAGAGGTTCGGCTCCTTAGTGGATCCCTGAGCCTTCCTCTTGTGGTTTCTAGAGTATACTCCAATTTAGAAATCGACAATTTTAAATCTCCATTGATATAATCTACGAAGTTGGAGTAGATCAAATAACTCAAGGTCTATAGGCACAGACAGAGAATATTCTACATAAATATTTGGGCCAACGTCCATCAGCAAGAGCAGTTAAACGCGTATAATTAATCAAATGCCGACTGTCATCTAGTTGTATAATTTCAAATAAGGTGATTCCAAGCAAATAGCACACGTACTAGCCGAAATCCATTAAACGCCTGTTTTGCCGATTTTTGGCCGCTAAATGAAGCAGCTGCGAGGTGATCGGCTCGCCAATGGGTCGCCCAGCATTCGTTGTTCGTTTTCTGGTAGATACTGCAATGTTGAAATTGACGCTCTATAATTTCCTCAGAAATTATCTACGAAGTTGAAGTGGATAAGTTTATTCAAGGACTATGCCTTTAGACACTTTCGCCTTTATGGGCATTTGACTAGTACCTGTGCTGTTAGTATGGCATTATCTTACCTCAAAATTATATAATTAGTTTCCTTCGGCATTTGATAGAATATTTCGCGGTTACCGGATGTGGCTGATGTACTTTGGCACAATATTCATGTAAAAATGTCTCAGTTTGTGCCTATAAACCTTGAAAAGAATGGTATACTTTAACTGCATATATATTTTCTAAGGACATAAAAAGCGACAATCAGTATATTAGAGTATCTACCAGAAAACACACGGGGAATGCTGAGGGTCCCCCGACAAGCCGAACCCCTCACGGCTGCGACATTCAGCTGCAAAACATCGGAAAAATCCTTGTGTATGGGTTTTTGTCTAGTTCTTGTACTCTGTGTATAGTATTAACTTACCTTTTATTATACGTCTGTATCCTGTAGGCAGTTAATGTATATTATGCGCCTTCCCACATTGGCAGATGTTCTTTGGCCGAAATTCTCAGTCATTGCCTATTGACCTTGAATAAAATGATCTACTCCAACTTCGTGGATGATTTCTGAGGGAATTGAAAAGCAACAACTGCATAATTCGCGTATCAACCAGAAAACACACGTGGAATGCCGGGGGAACCACTGAGGTGACGAGCCCCTCGCAGTTGCTTCGGGCATCGAAAAAGAAATCGGCGAACCTCGCGTGTATGGTCTTTTGGCTAGGACCAGTGCGGTTAGTATAGTATCGTTTTAACCTCAAGTATACTACTAGCTGCTTGTCCGCAATTAATAAATGATACGCGATTACCCGATGTGTATGATGCTATTTGGCCCAAATATGCATCTATGTAATTCTTGGTGTGTGCCTTTAGACCTTGAATATACCCATCTACTCTAACTTCGGAGACAATGTCTAAGAAAATATAGAATCTACTTTTTTGTAAATTAGAGTATCTACCAGAAAGCACAAGGGGGATGCTGGGGGTTTCACTGACGAGCCGAAAACCTCGCAGTTGCAATTTGCAGCGGCGAAATATCGCCGCAACAGGCAAGTACGTGCATTGGGCTAGTTCCTGTGCTGTTAGTAATGCGTCACCTTTCCGTAACGTGTACTTACAGCTGCCTGTCGACAGTAAATGAATATCACTCAGTAACTAGCTGTGGTTGATGCTTTTTGGCCTTAATATTCATGTATAAAATTGTCGGTCTTAGCCTGCAGACCTTAAATAAACTGATATATTCCAACTACGTGGATAATTTCTAAGAAAATATAGAAGCGACAATTTTTAAATAGGAGTATCTACCCGAAGACACACGGGGAACGCCACGCAGCTGCGCTGGGCAACGGCAAAAAATCGGCGAAACACGCGTGTATGGGCTTTTGGCTAGAGCCTGTGCTGTTCGTATGGAATCACCATCCCTAAATTATACTACTAGCTGCCTGTCCGCATTTAATGAATACTTCTCGGTTACCCGCTGTATATGACGCTATTTGGCCCAAATATGCATGTATATATTTCTTGGTCTGGGCCTGTAGACCTTTGATAAACTGATCTAATACAACTTTATAAGAATTTTATGAGGAAATCAAAAGGCGACCATTTATGTATTTCATTATTTTCCATAAGTCCTACGGGGAATGCTTGCTGACTCTTTGTGTATCCGAACGTCTTGCAGCCGAGCAATGCAGGGAAAAACTTTGACGAATTACGCGTGTATGGGATTTTGATTAGAACGTTTGCTCTAAGTATGGTATATTCTTACCCCAAATTATACTTCTAACTAACTGTCGGCAGTTGATGAATATAACGCGGTTACCCGTTATGGCTAATGTACTTTTGTTTAAAATATTCATGCGCGAAATACTCAGTCTGTGACAACAGACCTTAAATAAAATGATCTATTCCAACTTCTACGATAATTTCTAAGGAAATTGAAAAGCGGCATTATCTAAATTGGAGTATCCACTAGAAAACACACGGGAAATGCTGCGGGAACTACTGACAAGACGAACCCCAGGCTGCTGCGCCGAGCATTGATAAAACATCGGTAAAAGACGTGTGTATGGGCTTTTTTCAAGTACCAGTGCCATTATTTTGGTATCACCTTACCCTTAAGTATACTGCTAGCTGTCTGTCGGCAGTAAATGAATATCTCTCGGTAACTAGCTGTGGAGGCCTCTATGTATTCGCACATTCGGTTCTGCACAGATGTCTCGACAATAATGTGTTACCGAATGTGTTTTATGCAAGCCTCTGGTAAACACGGATTTGGGGAGACGAACAGTATTTCAGCATGGCAGAAGGATGATCTAAGTCCTCCTCCAAGATTATCACTCGAGACTTCGCAAGAGTCGTCAAGACCAAGAAAAGACCACATACTGTGAGTTCATGGGCGAGATTTGTACAAATCTGCTCCCTCAGAGAGTGACTGAACAAACCCGCGAAGAGAGAATGATACGCGACTCAGCACTGGAGAATAAACTCTGAAAGCTGGTCAATCCACTGTCGTCCAAAAACGGCAAAATGGTGCGCAACCTGTCATCAAAGGAGCTGACGAAGTATCAGATGCAGGTTTTACGGCACGAAATTTCATTTTACACGGCTGACGCCAAACCTGTTAACAAAATTGCAACAGTGGAATCAATCCTTAGTCAGACGGGGGCAACGGAGGAGACCAAGAGCCTCATCCGACACCAAGTGTCGTCTCTCCTGATGGCCAACAGGCCGCGGGATGTGCTTTCCAAGGTCGAACGTGATGCGCTTAGAGAACTCAAGGCCGACAAAGACCTGGTCATCGTACTGGACAGGAAAGACTACCTTGAAAAAGCCAAAGGCTTACTGGAGGACCGACAGTTCTATGTCCCATGTGCAACGAACCCTCTAAAAACGCTGACATGCGAACTTAATGCTACGTTCTT